TATGCATGGCACGTTTGAAAAGTATTGCAACATTTTTTTCCAATTCCCAAGTTAAAAATAACATGCATTTTTTTCTCATTCCCTGCTTAAATACTTAAGGATTTGAACCAAGCTTTTAAATGTTATGATCTTTAATATTTTTAGCATTGCATGTCATTTTTTGTTTGGAATTGTGGTGTACCACTTCTTAGTAAAAACCTAATTGGGCATAAATGTGAGGTACAATTATCTTCACCCGGTTGTATGTATTCCATTGACTTTTTTCTAATATGATATCCTTAAGGAAAGTCAAATCAAATAATATAATACAGCAAGAGCTGAATGTTAACTCTGAATATGTTCAATGTTTTTTTCAGAGAAATAGGCATAACAAATGTTGGTGTCTGTCAGATACTAGAAAACATCTGGGTTTCTGAACAAAGTTCTTTTTCCGTAGTCATGTCAGAACAATGCAAGTACCAAATCAGTTCAATGAGCTTGTGTTTTAATCAGTAAGCTGTCTAAAATGATTACATTTATAAACATGTATTTATATAGATATAATATTTATAGACATATTCACCTTATTTCCTTTTCCAGCAAGTAATTTTTAAGTGAGGTTTCACTTGCTTGCATTTGAATCCACAAATTCAACCCTTTTTGTGGGGTTCAGTGCTTCTGGATCTTTTATGTACAGAGGTAGATCTAGACTTGCCTGAGTATACAGTCTCAAAATACCTGGGAATAAACACCCCCTTTCTTTTTCTTTCAGAAATAAATCCTGTTGTTGAATGACTCTACCATAGAGTCAGTTCCCTCTTTCAGTTGAGAAAGAGGGAAAAGGACACCTAATTTTAAAAGCCCCACTGCCTTCATTTTTTCTTAGAACCACATTAGCAACTCCTCTGTTTATAGGTGTAAGAACACTATACAGCAAAAAGACTGAACTTCTATGTTTGGAATAAGGTGTATCCATGTTCTCTGGTATTTACTAATATAATACTATATTCTAATTAAAATAACTGATTTATACCATTATAATAAACAGCTTCTGGAAAAGAGCTGGGAAAGGATTTGGAGAGTTGTAAAGTAAAATAGGAAGTTTACCCTTTGAAATGTGACCCACTGGTATAAACTTCCAGTTCCTCCTTTCTGAAAGTCAAGGCATGTAAGTGTTGGGTAGCTGTGGACAGTTCTCAGGGTTTTATGTGTGGAATGAAAACTGTTTATACATTAAAGGTTTTCTTGAATTCTTTTATAGCAAAATCTGACATAAATTTGTTTTCGTTATTACAAACAAGGAAATTTCAAGCAATCCTCACTTCCCATCTTTTACATAGCTGCAGTGGCAACTTTACAATACAATTACAATTTTACATATACTTGTTGCAAACATGAATGCATCCTTCAGTCCTGACACTGTAGCACACATCTGCTTGTGTGAGTTATTTACAAGCTTATACAGCTGTTATCTTTTTGTTTTTTATGCCATTTCTTGGCAAGTTACAGTGAAAATCTACACTTACCAAGCCAGTCTCATTTGTCAGTTTAGCTTACTGATACCTGTAGTAAAGGTTTTAATTTAAAGCCACAAGAAAATATAGCTCACTTTTTGAATGCTAAATTGAGCACTGAAATGGAATAGTTGTGTGAAAAGAGTAATGGACTGTTGCTGCAGATTTTCAGTTCAAAGATTGGCAGAATTCTGGCAGTTATTGTTAATGAAGAAATTTATCCTAGAACAGCTTAATCTCACACAATTAGTGTGTTTTGATTGCTCTGAAATAACAGAACTGACTCTCTTCATCAGCCATACATACATGCACCCATAGAACTAGCAGAAATTGTAGAAGGAGAGCCCTTTTAGACTCACAGACTCTTTTATTAGAGCACATACAGGAGAGCAGCATCAGGAAGAATTCTTGACTTCTTGGGAAGGGGAGGAGATGCAATACTAACTTCAGTGCCTTGGTTGGAGCTGATAGTTTTGGACAACCTGTTTGTTTCTTTGAATACTGGCTCTTATCCCTGTGTTGACTGACATTAACAGTACAATTTAATAGTCCAATTGCAAGTTGCTAGTGGCATTTAAAAAGCATTAGAGTGCTCAGAAGCCCCACCTGGCAGATGCAGAGTGAGCTGTGTTCTGAGCTGGCTGCTGGATACCATGTGGAATATTCAAGGGCATTTTAGGTTGCGCCCTAGATGGTATTCTCACTAGATGCCTACATGTAGGCACCAAATAAATCTGTCAGAAATGACTGAAGTGATCATGCACTTTCTAATGCAAATGAAGCATTTTATAGTTTCTTCTTTCACAGACTTTGAGAAAATGACATGTAGAAATAGGCAACATCTTTCAATATAGTGAGAATTACTTTGACTTGCAATGAGAGGTTTGTATTCTACACTTGGTTTTAGTGTTGAATACATATACTTTCCTTTTATATATTTTTATACTGAGGCTGAATTCAAAGTCATGCTTAAACATAACATTTTTATTTTAGAAAAATCAATGTTCTTCACCTATGTGTCTATTTTGAGAATTTTTGCTTCACTTCTTCCTCATAATCACCATCTGCAACAAATGGTCTGTTTACAACAAAGCTGAAAAATAAATAGACTTTATTGTATAAATCTTAAATAACACCCAAGGATGTTACATGTAGTAGGATAGTCTTATTACAAATCCTAAACTGATATCTCCATATGCATTTAAGAACAGCTTTTAATCTGGATTAATGGAAATAATTTGTGTCCTCTGAGGTATCTGAAGTTAACTAGTAGTTTCTGAAAAAAATATACGGTTTTGAATTAACAAATCGGTCTGTTGATAACTTTTCTTCTTCTCTTGGGACCTCTTCCAATGTAGTGTTCCCTCTGCCCCTATCTTTCCTTTAAAATAAACTTGGTCTGTTGATAACTTTTCTTCTTCTCTTGGGACCTCTTCCAATGTAGTGTTCCCTCTGCCCCTATCTTTCCTTTAAAATAAACTTTTTCATCTGAGGCCCTACATTTTCCTAGCTGCAGATTTTTAAAATGCCTTGTCTGTCTGTACTAGGTTTTCTTGAAATACTGGTTTACCTCATGTTACCTGAAAGGTTCAGGAGATGTTAGTATTCCATAAATGACACCCTTTTCTCAGATGAGGCACACCTCATGGGGCATCTCTGAAGAACTGGCACACCTGCTGCTTCAGTGGCAATTGGAGTAACTCATGTGGGAGTGGCTGTCCAGACAGATCTTGTAAACGTGGAAAAGGGGAAATAAAAGAAAATAACCTTGCTGTTTGGAAGGAATAGAAGAGTTTGATTCTGTTAAGTAAAGAGTGGTTTGATTGCTGGTTCTTAAAAGCATGCCAGCTACCTGACTGTGTGGTACCAATCTGAGGAACAGGTTTTCAGTCTGGTTTTGCACAGGGGTAACTGCTAGGCCTCTTAAAAGTGCTGATGCTGGGTTTCTATATTGAAACAAGTTGTTAATGCAATTCTATACTTAATTTGTAGTGTTGTGGTAATGTTATTCAGGATAAAATGTTGCGGTCTTTATACTTCCCAAAGGTCTGGAAGTCTATGGTTGGAGTGTTTCTTTGATGCCCTGTCCCACTTTTGTCTTAGCTAATGCCTCGTTAGCTGGATCAGTAAACTAATGACAAGGTATCAAAAGCAGTAATTGAAAGGATTCTTAGACAATGACAGACACTGATTCTATGTATCACAGATTCAAGGTAACAAATTAAAACTTGTAACTCGGTTGAGGTACTTCTGCAGCTGTGAATAGGAATGCTGACTCAAATGCAGGGGAGGGGAAAGAAAGGTTAATTCAAGCTTTTTTTAGCATGTGTAGCATTCCAGTGAAGACTCCTGGGTTGCAAGCCTGCAAATTATAATCTGCTGTCTGTAAGCACCTAGTTCTTTCATGGATTGTGATTGTGATAGGAAAGTCAGGTATCTTTACAGAAACTTTGACAAAGGTGATAAAGAGTAAAATGAAGGTTGGATTTTTTGCAGGGTGTTTTGGGTTTGTTTGGTTTTTCTCCCCATAATTCTGGTTGGAACTGAAAGTTTTATATATGTGTGTGTGTATGTATATATATATATACACACTATATGTATACAGTACATATATATACACGGACTACATATATACACTCTTTATAGTATTAGCTATTAATTTTACATTTAAATAGTGGCCTTCAGATGAAAGGTTTCATGTGTAATTGCTAATTTTGAGTTGTCTAAAGTTAGTGTGGACTGTTGTTAACTGTTTGCTTCTTATCTTTATTTCTCTGATACATTGGACTTCCTTTTGAAAGCTAAATAAGGTAAATTCTTCTTTACTGAAGCTGTAAGTGCATTTAAATAAATCAATTATCTCACTGGTCATGTATTTTTTTTGTAGTATGAAGTATCACAAATTTTTAGACACAAATTTCTAAGCTTCCGTGCCATAACTGTCTATAGTTTACCAAAAATCCCTCTGCAGGAATCATTTACTAGCTTTATAAAAGTCAAGCATTTTTTGACATCTTAAAAAAATAACCCACCCAAAAAAACCAAAAGAAAACAAAATCTTCACTGTTATTAAAATTAAACGTGTTGGTGGTTTGTAACAAAGTTGTGCTTGTTTCAGAAGTTTGAAGCTATGAAACTAGAAATATTTCAAAAGCAAATTCTTTCATGATCTGTCTGTGAAGCTAGAAGTTGAAGATTTTTCTTCTGAAACTAACCTCAGTTATTTCAGATGTCTCCAAGAAGCTGTCTTGTGAAACTTGATATGTTGAAGAGTAAAGTTGTTTTTATTCAATTTTTAACATCCTAGAAACCTTTCTACATGACAGGTTTTGGCAATATTCATGAACTTTTCCAGTGTGCTCTCAAATAGCTTATTCAGCCTATCATCAGAAATCTTTTTGAAGGTGTGTTGTAACATATAATACCAAGAGATTAAAGTCATCTGAGGATTACTATTATGCATTATTTCATTGTACCTGACTGTCAAATGTGTATCTATCTATTTAGGTTCAGACAAAGAAGGAAGAAACTTTGCCACCATCACTTAGTCAAAACATTCCAACTTTCTATTTTCCTCGAGGATGTCCTAAAGAAAAAGTTAATATAGATGCTGTGATTGCCAAAATTGAGAAAACTTTCTCTGAGTTTCCAAATGAGAGGGCAACGTTAGAAGACATGGGGAAGGTTACAAAGGTGAGAGCTGAATGCTTTTAGTACTGTACATATGGAAAGGAAACACGAGTTCTGTGTGCTTTTCTTGCATTATGTCTTTTCATTTCCTATAAGGTAGTACCAGGAAGACATCATATTCAACACTTTTAATGGCACAGTTATGTGCTATTAGGTAAATCTTTGTGTTAACTATGTCTCAAGTAGTCCTACATTTTGCTTACAAGAAGAAACAAACATTAAAATAAAAGTTTAACTATTTTTTTAGTTGCATAAACAACCAAATCCTGAAGGGCACATCGTATGCCTGTCTGTGTTCTGTGTTGACCAACAGATCCAAGGCAAAGGCACTGTTCATGTGTATTTTGTTTTCAGATGTCCACACTGCTATTTCTCATTCAGCAGTGTTGTGGCTCTCCATTGTAGACACATTTAAAGACAGAATGGTTTGATAACTCGAAATTACAGCCCTCTAGTTATTACTGAGGAGTTGACTAACTTAGAGTTATGGCAGAGCAACAAAATATTGAGCTTAGAAAGCAGCACATATTTTTAAAGTTCGTGTAACAGGCAATAAGCTAGTTAAATTAAACTTAAATTTCCTTTTTGTTATGCTGAATCAGTGCTTGAAACATCACTTCAAGTCATGGTCTTGGTAATGAATCTCAGGTTCTAATCCCTGTTCCAGTCACTTTGCATTTAAAGTCCAGGGTCTAGAAAACAGAAATAGTTTTCACAAGAGCAGGACTGGATGTTCAGAAACTCCTTGTCTGTGTCACCTGAAGTATTTAACAGCTAAGCTGAACAGCAGTATTCCTGTGGCCCACAGCTCCTTTTGTGAGGAGAGGTGGAAGAGATCCTTCCCTCTTGGGAAGAAAGGTGGGAGAGTCCAGTCATCTACAGTTCAGTGAGGAAAGGCACCCTCCTGCAGCACAGGGAAAGCCTCTCAGTCTGAGGGCAGTATTTGTCAAACTCACTTTTTCCTTCTTTTTTGAAGGACTTAAAATATATCCAGCCCTTTAGTAGAGCTCATTAGCATGGACTTTGTTCAGCTGCTTGGAGTGTGGACAGAGCAGACATGTGACTGCATTCATCTATTAGGAATGCTGCAAGTTGCTCCGTTTTGTTTTCCATATTTGGATTTCAGCCTAAAGCAGTTGTTTAAAATTAATTATCTTGGATGCTGCTGTTGGTTTCAGAAACAGATTTTAAAAAATCTCTGCCTTAATGTTTTAAACACTTGTAAAACTGAATTTTTCAACAATTTACCAATGAGGGAGTAACTCAGATAAGCAATCAACACAGTGACTTGATGTATACTTTAATTCTAGGCTTGTGAATGCCCACTTTACTGGAAAGGTCCTTTGTTTTATTGTGCTGGAGGTGAACGAACAGGCTACGTGTCAGTTCACAAATTTGTTGCAATGTGGCGGAAGTAAGTAGGTTTCTTTTTTTAGAAGTACTGCATTTTTTTAATTGAAACGTGATGAGATCCCATTTGTAAAGGGAAATAAAGCACTTTCCCATAACCAGCCATTGACAGCAAGCATGTACCTGGGTAAATAGAAGTAAATCATCACTTTAACATAAACAAACAAATCGATATTGATGGTGTTCATAGATTTTTAAAGTGTTTGGTAAATGACTGGCTGTTTATTGAAAAATGAAAAGCATAGCTCTAACTTGTAGATGTCAGTTCTGAACAAAATGCATTTTCTTCTTTCTAGTTCTCCTTCCAGTTCTAACTGAAAATGTCCTTTCATGTAATCATGTATCATGGAGTAACCCCCTCCTTTAATGTAAATCTAACTTTTGATGTCAGTTCTGAACAAAATGCATTTTCTTCTTTCTAGTTCTCCTTCCAGTTCTAACTGAAAATGTCCTTTCATGTAATCATGTATCATGGAGTAACCCCCTCCTTTAATGTAAATGCATGAGACAGTAGTGCTTTGTTAAGTTCACTTTGACTGTACTTTGACATTCCTAATTAGCTTTTGAACTAAATGTTGTGGTTGCAGTTTCCTAGGCCTTGCTCTAGGGAAGCCCATACAAGGTAGGATGAGGAACTTTCTGTGTAGAGTATTAAATGGAAATATTTACATTTCAGAATACTTCAGACCTGCTATGATGATGCTGCAAAGTTTGTTCATCTTCTAATGAACCCTGGATGCAACTACTTGGTGCAAGAAGACTTCATTCCTTTTTTACAAGTAAGTTGCAAAATAAACTAGTTCTGGAAACACAACAAAATTATGAGCTGGCAAAGCCCTGATTTTTATTTTCAGCTAAGCATTTTCATGCCCTCCATTGATGTTTATTGGTAAGATTTAGTGTAACTCATGTTGTGTAGTCCACCAAGATGCTAGTGAGTGACTTATTTTACAATTTTTCATTTTATGTAAGAAGAAGTCTTTAAGAGCTACAGTAAGATACATGGCTATAAAACAACTTTCATGAATACTACATGTATCAGAGAATCCTTATAATTTAGAAAAGCAGTTGAAGTTATGTAAGCCAAGGAGGCCCTTTGGCAGGCAATGTGGCTTAAGAATTCAGGACCTACTACAGTATCTGAGTGGCACACAATGCTTTGACTAATGAATGAATAAAACATAAATTGGCTTTTACTGATTCCTAATCAGCCACAGAATTACAGGCTACAGTGGTCAGCAGTGTCCAGAATCTTCATCACATCTAAAGTACAGGAAATTTTGCATTTTCTCTGGCTTCTTTAAGATAACTTTATTTTCAAAAAGTGAGCAGTGATATTTACATGAACGAAGCATGTTCTAAATTTATCATTCAAGATTGTAGTACTTCATTTGAACTGTTTTGCTTAAGGAAGCAGATGTGCTATTCTCTGCTAACTGTTTTATATGATCACTAATGAATACTGTTTGGGATATTGTTATTCCTTTTTTGCAGGATGTGGTGAATAGTCATCCTGGCCTGTCATTTTTAAAAGAAGCATCTGAATTTCATTCTCGGTACATTACCACAGTAAGTGATTTTTACTTTACAAAGCTATTTGTGTTAATTAAGTAGGAAAATGAAAATGTTTAAAATTAGTCAATCTTTGACTCTTGAGAAAAGTTGAGTATGTTGTCAGTCTCAATTTCTACATAACTTGAAATATTTTGAAGAAACACTCCACCTCTTAAGCATCATACTTAACATTTATAAGAAATTGCTGAACTTAGTATTATAAGAGAAACACTGAATTGTTATAGTGTAGCATAAATTAATGAACATTAAAGGAAGAGCAGATTGTTATCTTAAATACTTGATTGTGGCTATAGACTGTACACATTAGATTCTTGACCTTACTCTGGGTTTAATTAAATGGAATTTTGAAGGCAAAAATGTATATTAACACGATTATGTTCAGTATTAGGCAAAATAATGGTAATATTGGAGCTGTTTGCCACTTTCCTCTCAGGGGACTTACCTTCTTAAGCAGATTTCATACATGAAAAGTTCAGTTTCTCTCTTCCTAAGGTTATGTGACTGAAGTATTCTTTCTGTACCCCAGGAAAAAAAAACAGTGACATCAATTTTTTTCAACTGTAGACTAGACAGCTGATTCCACTGAAGTCTCAAAAGATTAAAATTCTTCAAAATGACCCTCAGTTCACTTTCTTTGTCCATATGAAAAATAGCTTAATGAATATTCTCCAACACAAAAAACCAACACATTCAGAGTTGTTCATCTTCTATCCAGCTTATAGTCTGACCCAGACCAAGACTGTGGAAGTTTTTTGAAAGTGTTTGGTTTTGGTTCTGTGTATCCTTCTTATAGAGACTGCCAGCCTATCAAATATGTTCACCTGCATTAGGTTTTCTTGTTACAATGATTACATGAGCTCACAGAACTTTCTTGTCAAATGTGACTGAAATAAATTTTCTGCCTATGATTAGTTTTCCTTCTTTATGGATTCTGGGTTATGTCAAATCCTGCTCTGCTTAAAATTGTGAAACCTTGCTGCCTGTCCTGAAGGACTGTAGGAGGGAAAAGTCCCTACCATTTCCTGTTACTTTTCTTTGGAGTAACATTATTTGAGCAGGCTTGAGTCTAGTAATATTGAATAAATTAATGCTGGCAGTACCTTACCAACAAAATGTAATGTGTTTTCAACAGAAATCCACATTTATTGAAAAAATCCCCAAAGCAAACCACTATTGTTAAGAATATAGGAAGAATATTTGGAATACTACTGTACATATTGAGAAATGGCAGGACTATCTGCCCTTTCTTGTCCAATTTTAGGATGGAGTAACTGTTGCTTAATACAGTCTTCAAAATTTCTGTCCTTCAAGTTATTATTAATACTTCATTATAGAGAAGAATAATTTATAATTAAGGTGTTTCAGGCCTGTGTTCAAAATAGCTTTACCTTACTACATGAAGCTTCAGCTAAAGGATTTAAATACTGCAGTTGAAGATTTAATGTCTGCTTATGCTGACATCCACTGACAAGTTAAATGTTCCATTTTTCTGCTGTATCCACATGTATATACATGTGTATGTATCAGTACATATGCGTACTGCTATATACATATCTCTTCAGTGAAGCAGGTGTGTTTTAAGTGTTGTTCAACCAGGGAAGCAATCAGTTCTGTCTGCTGGATATAGATTGGTTGGTCTAGTGGTAGGGTTAGGTATACCTGTGTTTTAAATAAAGCTGAAATATATTAAAAACATTTGCTCGGACAAGTGAGACACTACATGTAACCTCCAAGTATGTGAAGCATATATATATGAACTTCCTGAAGTTTTTGAAATGGTGATTTCTGTATTGCACCATTTCTTCTCCCTCTGACAAAGCACTGTGCAACACAGTAAAGAAGGCACTTCTGACAGTTTGCTCATACTCGGCTTCATTCACTTGAGAACTTGTTTTTTTAGGTCTGTTCCCAGTTGTCTTTCGCAAACATTCAATTTTGGTTTTATTTTTAGACCAGTTAAATGTATAACAGATGAGATAATGACATGCAGATGGATTAAGTTGCAAAGCTAAGGCAAAACCTTTTTTTAGAAAAAATTGCTTTGTAGTATAAGCCAAAAATGGTCCTTTCCTAAACTTGCCATTAGAATTGAGCTAGTTAGGTTTCAGAAGTAGGCTGGTTTATTCTCCTTTCTGGACTTACTGAACCAGCTTCTTTTGTTCAAAGTAAGAGCTACAGTTAAAGCTTTATTTTAAAATGTTAGGAATAAATTCTTCTATTTGTAATTTAGAAATTATTGGTCTGCTTAACAATACAAATCTAAAGTGATAAAAACTTACATAATACAGTATTTTGGAAGAGGTTTTATTTGGGGAGAAAAGGATTCCTAAAGAGATTATTCTTTTAACTAGTGACTATTTCATTGCAAAGTATGTGCTATGCATACAATATTTGATCTTGCTAATTAACATGTATAATCAATCTCCAATTAAGCAGCTGTAGTTTGTAATACGTTTAGATTTATTTGTCCGCTTTTGTTAGTGGTTGACTTGAATTGTGTATCTGGTTGGCTGAAGACAAACTAATTGAGGTGTATGCTGAATTAAGTTAAACAGTTTAGTTTGTGAACTAAAACTAAGCAGATTATGCTGAATGGATGAGTTTACCAAAATGTACTTCTAAAGCTGATTTAAACAGAAGTGTTGGATGCTGAACTGAGTGGATTTGTTTCTGGTTCTAATAATTCATGGCACAAGTGATCTTTCTTGCATATTTTTGTTGTTAGTTAGAAAACATTTCTGTACTTTTAATACTACTAACAGGTTTATTCAAGTAACTTTATATAGAATAAAATTAAATGGGGAAAAAAGGTATTTTCTCTGTACATGCAGTAAGTATTTATGTCAAGTGTTGATTTATTTTATTTATAAACTTCAGAAGTAGCAATATTCCCCAGAACTCTGATCCTTAAACAGTCTCAATTCTATTTCTGTCAATTTATTTATGAAGCAAAATATTCTTATAGTAAATATAGGTCTTTAAATGTGATGTAAAGAAATATATTGCTGGGTTTATTAGATTATATTGTGTAGCTCTGGAATACTGGGAGGTAGTGACATTGCCAATATACATTCTGAATAACACACAGGTATTTTGTAACTTTGCTGTGTGAGATATGGTTACTACAGTATGGAAATAAGACTTGCCAAGATCAGTTTAGATACAGATTTAGAAATGGTTTGGTAATATGGCATATAAGAGAAGCACCTATTAAGTAATGAGAAGAATAGAAATAGGAGAAAGATGGAGTTCTGTAATGCAGCTGAGCTAAGACTCATCTTTGGCAAATATTTGAGAGGGTATTTGGTTAGAATACCTAAGATCACCTTTTTATTTTTTGTTTCTGCAGGTTATACAGAGAATATTTTATACAGTAAACAGGTCCTGGTCTGGGAAAATAACTTGCAATGAGCTCAGGAAAAGCAACTTTTTGCAGGTACATAATCTTTAAAATTTTGCAAGATGGATGTTTCTATAAGTTTAAAAACTGCATAAACTAAATGCTGAAGGGAGTAAGAAGTAGCATTTCTTCCTTTTTGTTCCAAAAACTGATGAAGGCTCAATTGCATTAATACTTCTACACTAGAATATGTTTAAATGTCAGCTTTTCTCTAGAGCTGTATAAATGCCTGTGTGATTAGCAGAAGTCTGGCTGATCTCTTCATTCCCCTATGGACACATCAGTTTTCTACCTTGTGGTTTCAGTCTTGGCTGTCATGCTGCATGGTGTGCAACTCTCTCTGAAGATTGTTCCACTGAAATAGCATTAGATGTTAAGTTGGTTATGAGAATTCAGATCATTCCACAAATGTCTTACAAATTCTTTAATGTGTTCTATTTATCCTTCTGATAATAGAATGTGGCATTATTGGAAGAGGAAGCTGATATTAACCAGCTGACAGAGTACTTCTCATATGAACATTTTTACGTTATCTATTGCAAATTTTGGGAGCTGGATACAGACCATGACCTCTATATTGATCGGAAGGATTTAGCTCGACATAACGATCATGGTATGACATATAAAGCACCTTTGTTTGCCCTGTAAACTTTCAGCTGAGGAGGTGGTTACCAGCCAAGGCCAGTGTTCATGAGTCTGCTGATAGAGCTGATCCTGCTGACTAGGGAAGCAGAGCAGGACAAGTTATCTGAGTCGCTGCTTTCTGTCTAGCAGTACTGAATTTGAGGAAAAATCTGAATTTGAACTCTGATCTTGGCCAAGTAGTAGAGGACAAAAGAAATTTGTGTGTAGGCTTGACCTAAAAAAAAATCAGTCTTGGAAGGTTATACATGGCTCCATTTGATAGTTTTGGATTGTTACCTTAGAAACAACCCGTTTTACTGATATTCACGTAGCATAGCTCTTAGACAAGGTATGGAAAGAGTAGAAAAAGGAAAATATAGCTTCAGGTACTTTGCTTATTTTAAAGTTTTACTAACTGAGCTGCAGTACATCTTGTTGTAATATTATTTAGCAACATTACATTTTCTGCATTCCCACTATACAATGATTGTGGTTCTGTAGTGCTGCACGCTTGTACCTATTTAAACATTATTGTAGCCTGTATGGGACTGTTGGGGGTTGTTTGGGGCACCCTGTATCCTTTGCCATCTTAAATACTCCCTTGAGGGCTGGAAGGCTTACTTAAGCACAAAGTTAATGTGGGATAATATTCCATAGTAAAACAAGAAGCAAAATTCTGATTGCTTCTGAAAGCTTGTTCACTGCAGTCTGACTACACCTGAGGACACTGAGGAAAACAAGCTTCTTTCATGTGAGAGGTTTCTCTAGGGAGTTAGCACACTGTAGGAAAGGAAGCAGAACTGATACCTTGCCACTTACACTACAGTTCTGCATCCATGGAGTGTTGATTAATACTTATCAGCTGCTGCAAGACTAAATAGACTACATAAGAGCATAAAATGGATACGATAACCCAACTTTAGTCTCAAACCTCTTTTTTATGTCAGACTGAGATCATCTGGTTTCCTCAATCCTGTCCTTTTGTACTATCACTGTTATAAAATTAGGCTAGATCAAACTCTTGATGTAGTAAGAAAAATATTAAAATATGGAGCTGTTGTTGAGAAGGTTGAACTCTGGTGTTTAAAAGTAGGTAAGAAATGGCAGTGCATGTGTGAAACAAACTGCCCATGCTGCAGTTCTGAGAATAAATACTGAGCCAGGGTCTAATGTCCTTATTAAAATAATACAGTGATAGCATCACCGTACATAAAACAGATGAACTCTTCAAATTATTAACCACATGCCTTAATGATCAGTATTTCTGCATGCTAAAACAATATTTCAGAGCTAGAATAGTAAAAAGTAATTCTGTGAGAATAGTATCACGTGCTGCTTTGAGTACCATCCACAAATTCTTCAGGATATACTGAGTAACCTTTACAGAGGGGAGTACTCAGTGAAGACATGTCTCTAAAATCCCTGAAATTATTTCAAAATTAGAAACATGGATCAGAACCATGTCAGCAATAGATCCATGTCAGAATCAGTTAGGTATGCTCATTATGCATTAATGTGCCAATTCCAGTTTGGCTCTTTGCCAAATATCATATAAATATTATATTATTATATTGTCATATAAATTGTAATGGCACTTCAAAACATGATTTGCTTGACAAAGAACTGATAAATGCTATCTTACTGATCAGCCAATTTCATTACTTTTATGATGCTACTATTTCTGCATCAATCCAGAATCCAAAGCTGATTGGTTCTAGCTTTGCTTTGGAGACCTTGTGTTAAGTGATCTTCTCCAAGAGAACTTAAAGGGATTAAGGAGTGCTACACTTGATCTTTCTCACAGATGTGTGTATATATAAGAGGTTTCCAATCAACTCTTCAACTAGACAATACAGAGCAAAAAATAACTTGCATATAATTGACACTGTTTTAAACCTTTTTTCACAGCAATATCAAATAGGATGATAGAGAGGATCTTCTCAGGAGCAGTAACAAGGTACTGGTACTTATTTTACATGCTGTACTAAATCAGATTTAATATTTACATATTTGCTTGTTAAATGAAGTGTGAAATTCCCAGAAAAAAATGCTTTTCCCTTGGTATGGAATAGCCAACTTGAAGAGTTAGTGTTGTAGTTTAAACTTCAGTAGTACTGGAGTGCTCTTGAACTTTTGGCTCAGCCCAAGTTCTTTACTCTTCCTTCTTTTCCTGAATGTACATTTGCCATAGGATATAGTTTGGTTTCACAGGAATAGGAATAAGAATAGGAAGAAACCTTGGCATTGTTATTTTCTACCCCTGAAACCTGTAAAATATTCAAAGGGAATTGGGCTTTTCAGCACTACTTATAAACTCAATCAATGCTTATTGCATCAAAACACTTCTAAAAATGCCTCCAGTTGACTTAGTTCACATTTTTGACAGCCATTCTTCATTGCTCCCACTTGGATTGACTTACTCTTATATGGTTATGGCATTCAGATCATTTTGGAAACATCTTGCTAGCACAATTCCTGCAGCTAGAAAGCAAAGGATGAACAGAAATGACATCACAAAAGCTGAAATGAGTGAAACAACACTTGGCAGTCAGATGTCTCTTTTATGAGAGGGGTGGGGTTTTTTGGGCAAGACGAAACATGCATTGTGTTTTTCTAGACATCTTGAGCATAAAGCAGCAAAAAAGAGATTGTAGGAATGAAATGCAATATGTATAGGAACTGCCTACCTGACTCTTTCCAGTAAAGGTTAACCATGTGCCTTCACAAAATATTTGCATGCTGTGTTCTGTGTTGTAAGCATTGAAAGAGACAACCTAAGTTCTTGCCACAAAATGCTTGCTCCCTGAATGCTTTCATTTTTATCTTTGTATTTCCATTCCAGCACAGCTAGCTAGTGGAGTTCTACAGGGTTTTAAGTTCTCAGCACAAAACTGATGAACAGAAATTCTAAAAAGTGTGTGCTTGCATATAATACATCTCAATTAATTTTAAAAAATATCTCCTCTGTTAACAATTAAGCCATGGCATTGCTTTCCAGGAAGGAAAGCTGCAAGTCCTTCTGGACAGACTGCTGCCTTCCTCTTTAAATACCTGTTGCAATAGAAGCAACACAGAGCACACAAGCTCCTTGTTCTGAATTATGAAAGTAGCCTGTGACCAATCTCCTTACGAACACTGCAACTTTTAAGAGATAAATACTCCATGAAGAGCATCAAGGAAAATAATTGTTCATTTTATTTATTTATTTATTTTTAGTAAAAGCTACGTATTTTAAAATAACTTTTCTCTTTTCCCTCATTGGCCTTCAAGAGGTAGGAAAGCACAAAAAGATGGAAAAATTAGCTATGCTGATTTTGTCTGGTTTTTGATATCTGAAGAGGACAAGAAGACACCAACTAGGTAAGAAGGAATTTGTTTTAGCAGAAATAAAGACTGATTTTATTGGTCTTCCAGTCATTAAACGGGCCACTGATGCTCAGCTGGAACTGTAATGGAAGAAGTTAAATGATAAAAACATGAGTGGAAAACTGGCCCAGTCTGTTACATCATTCTTATTTATCAGTGTCTCCTGATGCTGCTGTGAAAGTCTATTTCAGTGACTTTTGAGAGAATAATTATTATTCCATATGCTGTGTGTGGCCTACTCGAAGACAGGGTTTCAAGTGAAGGAAATTACAGTTGTTTCATTATGTCAGTGGCTTTGGGTAACTCTACAGACAGCATTACCTCTAGGATATTGGTAAGAAACCTGTTGCATGACATGTCACTGGCTGCTTCAATCTGGAAAAAGAACTTTGGTTTTGATGCACAATTCAATTTTTCATTGGGTCCATTTAGTTTTTATGTAAAGTGACATGTTTTAGTCATCTCCTTCCTCACCCACCCACAACTGAGAAGTGTGTTTTCAAATGCAGTGATGATGGCAAATACCAGAAACTTAGCACAGGAGGTGTTGTTTAATGACTTCCTATGGCATGATGGAATGTAGTCTTAAGTCTAGTTTTGCATCTGTAAGTAGCATGGCCTTTAAAACAGGCAATATGAATTCTTAAAACTCTGTACTAAGTTTGTGTAAACATTTGTTATTACCAAATTTTAGCATTGAATACTGGTTTCGCTGCATGGATCTCGATGGGGATGGTGCTTTGTCTATGTATGAGTTGGAGTATTTTTATGAAGAACAGTGCCAAAAATTGGATAACATGGCCATAGAACCTTTGCCATTTGAAGACTGTTTGTGCCAGATGCTGGATCTCGTGAAGCCACAATATGAAGGTAATCAAATCCTTTTCCATCCTTACAAATTGAATGGTGTTCCAATGGCAGCCAGACATTAATTTTCATTCTGAAATTTAATATGCTGCATTACAATTCCTTCTAGGCTTTTAATTTGGGTTTGTTGCAATGTTTAATGCCTTAAATAAAATGTCTTAAATGAAATCTTGTCACTTTCTGGCCAAGGTGGTGCTTCAAGGAAAGCTCTTAACTGTTCTTTTCACATGCCTCTCACCTGATCCATTACTTATTTGAGATTTTTGCAGAGGGAACAGTTTCTAAACACTGTTTGTCTCATGGTTGATGGAGAGCATTTAAAATTAAGTGAAGCAAGCTCAGAGGAACACATTTCTATTATATGGTTGCCTGTAATATCCTCCTGATCTTGGGGTTTCCTTCCAGTCTTGTACATGATGCTTCTGAAAGGCAAACATTTTCAATAATGTTTCTATTCTGCATTTCATCTGAAACAAGATTAATCTGTCTGGTCTTTATCATGAAGAGGATAAAAGGAGGCTGTGAAACACAACCAAGAAGAGACTTATTTAGGGCAATGAAATTGAAAGCCAATTGTGACAGGTTGTTTTATTTATTAAAAACTTGAGTGACGTTTAAAAGGTGGATTAAGAAAAAATTGTTTTCCTACTACAAGAACCAGCAGCATAAAATTACATTTTACATGGTAGATTTGAAACCAAAGAAGGTACTTTCATACTGTTATGACTAAATTGTGATACAGTTAGCTACAGGATGCTCTGTGTACCAAAAAGCAAATTCTTGAATTGTCTACATGAGTGTTGGGTGTCTAAGCTCCCATAAATGGAAACTGAAGAGCAAATCAACGAGTGAAATATGGGCATCTAACTTAAATTGGGAGCTTCTATAACTAGGATTCAAATCAGTCACTTGGTTGTGGAGAATTGCTGCCACTTGAGATGGCCCAATACATCAGACATCTGTGTGGGCCTGACAGATAGGACACAGGTGCCATGAGGGATTTGTTGTGGAGCATCAGCTCTAAGCCAGGCAGAATAGATCCAGGCACTTCAGATGGCGACAGACACAAGAGTGGCAAACGTTTCCAAATGGGATTCTTATTTTGCTTCCCTCTGATGTCCTTTAGCTATACTACTCTAGAGGATGGGACAGTGTGCTGAGAAAATACTGTTTCAAGTCTGGCTTTTATTGAACTCTTCCATAACATCTGCAGTTAGCCCCCTTTTGACCAGAGAAGGCTGGCCAAATTTGAGGTGAATCAATAAAGCAGAGCTTTAAGCATAGTCTTGTCTTTCCCCTGTGTCTGATATTTTTCATGTTTTTTGTAGAAGCTTAATATTCCACTTTGAAATAAGGTAACATTTCTGAGCAACCTGACAAGTATCTCTAGTACTTAAAGGATCCATTGGCTTTAAAGTATCACTTTGTAAAAAACAAACAAAACACCTCTGAGCATTTAGCTTTCCTCTCAAGCAGTAAATATTGATCAGGCTAGGTAAGTGAGACAAACTAGTCCTTGTGAAAAAATCATTTGTATGAAGCACAAATCACACACTGTCATCTGTCAGAAGTTTGTCAAGTCAAGGAAAAGGAAGGGGACACTGCTAGAGTGTTTCTACCTTTTACCCCAGCACTTCTTGGCAAGGAATGGCTACCTCACTGGAGCCCTCTCTGTCTCGAAGAAGCTTAGACAATTAGCTTAAATGGTTCTTAATAGCAAAGCAAGGCAGAGTGCATCTCATTCAACATACTGAATGACAGTAGGATGACAGCTAAGGCAAGTGACAAACCTAAAACACTTTGAAGTGTCGTCCACTTCAAAGGACACTTCTTTAGGTGTGTATTCCATTTGTTCACTTCATTCCCATTGCAGGATGTTAAGCATAATGATAATTTAACTTGAATAGCATTCCTTCTTCTTGAAGAAGGGAGAACTTCAGCTCTAAATACCTTATCACATGATCTTCTTTACAGGAAAAATTACTCTGCATGATTTAAAGCGATGTAAGTTGACAAATGTGTTTTTTGATACCTTTTTCAACATTGAAAAATACCTTGACCATGAACAGAAGGATCAGTTTTCTACGTTACGGGTGAGTATGAAGCTTTTAAAGTCTTTAGGTGTGTGCTCAACAATTAATGCGTTTTTGTATAACCTGCCATGTGATTGTTTAGGACACTGAAGGTGAAGGCCAAGAGATCTCTGACTGGGAGAAATATGCTGCTGAAGAGTATGACATCTTGGTGGCAGAAGAGGCAGCAAGTGACCAGTTGAATGATGGGTAAGAATGTAGCAAGAGGGTTGGTATGAATCCTCTCTACTAACATGGAGCTTCACCAGCACCATCATCCCTGATGCTGGTAGCGTCATGCTAGAACATTGCTGGTAGCTGGGTTCAGCCATGTGCTCAGTGAGGAAGGAAGAACCTTGCTTGTATCTTGAATTAAATGCTCCTTGGCAGTTTGTGATCACATTTGTTTTGTCAAAGAAAAGGTCCTACTTTCAATTTGGGGACGAAATAAGATTTGAAAAAGTTCCAACTCTAAACAAAATGCAATGGTAATTTTTGTAATTTGTTAAATCAATGAAGGGCTGCATGAAGAGATTCAGGAGAAAAATCTCACTTCTGAACTGAATTGTATCAGCTTAGAGGTATTTTCTCACAGTTCTCTGAGACAAAATAAGAACAAATCTTGCTGCTTCAGAATCACACCTTTTCTTCTGCTATGTAACTTCCAGAACCTCTTAGAATACAAAGTCCCAAATTTGCCTTTCATTGCTTTTGTTATTTAAAAAAATAAGGAAAACAAGTATAAATTTATCTTGTTTTAGGCCTTAGGTTGATGCACCCGTATAGAGAAAACACATTTTCCTGCATTTCCTACATCAATATTCCATTTTAAAATGTCTCTGATTCTTGCCAAGTGTTCAGAGTCTAAATGACTTAGCTCTCTATTTAAGAGACCACTTTAAAACTTGAGCAAGCAAAATCCTCTTTTAACACATTGATTTCAAGAAGCTTCATAAAAGAAAGCATATGAGGGAAGAAAGAGGGAGAGAATTGTTATCATTACTCAGACTCTTCAACATTAAGGGGGATGATTCTCTTAACTCTTCATGGAATCCTCCTTTGGAATTGACATTAACAAGCCAAAAATAAGCTTGTTACTGTGAGTCAGGCAATAGTCAACCTTCAATGGTTTTTATATTGTTTATATATATATTGTTTATATATATTGTTTATATATTGTTGTATATTGTTTACATTGTAATCTCTTAAGATTATAGCATAAGTTTGGGGAAAGTATAGAATAGGTATGTACATTTTTAACAATTATTAGTGACACTAATGATGAGGACAATAGCTTAAATTTGATGGATCAGAGGACAGAACAGCTTCTACAGAATGGCCGGTTGTGAAATGTTTATAGCTCAGCTGACAAAACTAGTGGGATTCTTATAAATCAGTGAAGGATTAACCAATAGGAAAAGGCGTAATGGCTTTCAACTGCAAAAGGTTAGATTTAGGTTAGACATTACAAATAAAATCTTCAGTGTGAGGGTGGTGAGACACTGGCACAGGTTGCCCATTTAGAAATGCCAGGAGGGGAAAAAAGGACTTTTTAAAGGAGTTGTTGTAGCTGTATGGTTATAGTTTTATAAAAGCTAGGAAGTAATGTGAGAAGTAACTCAAAGAATATCAGTGTCCAGATGTGTAAAACTGGGAGTGTGTTTCTGAATTTCCTTAACTTAAATATCTTGGAGAGAAGTGTAAGTGATATTCCATGAGGCCACCAAAGTTTTTGAAAGAGTGGGATTTTCATTTGGTCAATAACCATCTTCTGAGTAGAGGGTAGATGGGAATGATTGTGCACTGAGATGAGATTTAGTAGCACTTGGGAAGATGTGCATGAACCTGAGTCAGCCTAGCTCAGGATCTGGTCAGTTACTTCATCTCACATTGTAAATTTCTAGGGAGATTTATCTTTTTTAATGGCTCTCAACTACAGATTGATCTCACCATAATAGTACTGAAGCAGATCTTTTTTAAAATATCAGCCTTTACTGATTTGAGTTAGTTAAACATTTCATTATCCATCTGTTCATTTTCATCAGCAGCAGGAGTTTATCAGTAATTCTTCATGAAAAAATTGGCTTCTGCTTTCTAGCATCTGTTTGAAATACACAGTTGGTTGCAATCATGTCCTTGTGCTCATGTGCATTTTAATAACACTTTCACTGTTCTTTCTCTGTTGTTCTGTCTACTACAGATGTAGTTTGTTCTACCTAATTCAGCATAATTTCAGCTTTCTTGAAAAGAAGTGGAAGGGTTTCTGTCAAGCACCTGTCTTGCATTTGACCATTTCTGACTTAGGAGCAGTCCACTAGAGCAGTTTGTGCTTTGAATCCTTTCAGTAAAGCTGTGGATCTCACTAATCCATTCTGCTTGGGATGGGAGAATAAGATATCTTAAATTTAATTAAATTATGACAAACTTAGAGCTGCTTCTGTTACACTTTTCTTTAAGTATAAAAATACAGGAAATTAAGTTCTTCCTGCAGATCTTGTTAGTGTTCCAACATTTAGGCACTGCCCAACACAGCTGTACTTCCTCATTTTCTTCTTTTGCCCTCTCCTAGGTATGAAGCAGAACTGAATCCTGTAGACCATCAGAAGGCCCATGTCCTAAAATATCAAATGGAAAAGAGACCATTTTTTGAAATGCCTTCCCATCTGGCTGATGTAGACTTGGATGAGTATGACTATGAAGAGGACTTTGAGTAGTGGTCACCTAGAGTTAGCACTTGCAGAAGAGAAGGGACAGTCTGCAGCAGGTCTGCTACACACCTCTATGTTTCAGTGGGCTTTGTTTCCAGGAAGTCAGCTTAGCTTTTTGATAGAAGTATTTAATCAGTACACTACCTTGTAAGCAAAAGAAGCTAATTTGTATGCAATGATGAACCTTTTTTGTATTTATTCAATAGTCTATAGTTTGTAAAATAGATTAAAATATTTATTTACAGATGTTGCATAATTCCTTTTTGGAAAAATAACAATATTTGACTTTAGAGAAAAGTAATCTACTGTTTTTATGAGAACTGTATAATTTGCAGTTGATGTGTGGTGCACTGACCACCTCTACCCTGTAGGGGAGCAGGTGTTCCTGTCCTGGTATGGGAGGTAAGGAGACAATTTATACCTGGCCTGCAATGCTTCTATGCTCATGGACAGCCCTAGCGGGTTTTTATGCCTTGGCAAGGAAGAGACATGACCTGTGAGTGCGTGGCTCAGCTCCCATTTATGTGTAGTTTCATTTGACAAGCTGAGCTTCTTAGTGCACACAGAAAGCAAAGCCTGAGAAAAGTTGCTTCTCTTCTCCATGTAGTCCTTGTTTGCCCCAACTTTTATTCTGCCTGCCCCTTGAAATCTGTCTTTCATTGATGTTGATTATAAAAATTATTTCATGATGAAGTCTGGCTTAGTGTTCATGCTTGATCCAAAATGAGTGTGTTCATTCATGTAGAAGGAACCAATTTTTAAAAAACCCTTTGTATAAATGTTACTTGATCAGTGATGTGCACTAATTTGTTGTGGGCATTCAGTGCTTTTGTCTGTCCCCCCTTCAGTTGTTTGCTATTGACACATTCCATGGATATTCATCAGTGTCACAGCAGCTTGAAATTGTTGCCTCATACTTCCTGTTAAATGGATTTTGTTGGGAAAAATGTACAGAAAGATGTAAGTTATTTTTTGGTTGCAGTGTAGATCTGTTAAAATGTTAAAAAAACATGTTTGTATTTTCAAATAAAGATTTTCCTACATGTAATTTAACAGTTGTCATGATGTTCCTTCTACTAAAGCACCATGATGCTACAGGTGCCAGGTGTGCAGTCTGGCTGGACAATTACACCTTGCTGTGTGTTCAGAGCAATGAAGCTCTAATGGGTTTTTCCACATCCAGTGTTGCTGAGCAACTGGAAGGGGCACAGAAATCTGTTCCACTTACCTCATCACAGCTTCTCAGGTAGAGACTTAAAAACTTGTGTCTTCTAAGTGAGGAAACTCATCCCTCACAGCTGTTAGTGAACTGAACTGAGGAAAACTCAAGTCTTTTTAGTAACTTTCAGAGGATTCTCAAAAATTAAATCAGGGTGGATTATTCCAGTTTTAATGTTGATTTTTTAATTTCCCTCCTTGCCTGTGGTTTGGGGATTTTAAAGACACACAGTGTTTGTGTTAAGGTCTGTTCCCTAAGGTGCTGGCTTTCTGGAAGATTATCCTGAACTTCTATTGCTGTTCAAGGAATTGGTGACTTTTCCCTACCTGAAACCCTCCAGCTGGAAGGGTTCCAAAGCCTTTTTAAAAAGAGGTTCCCATCATGCAGTGATGTGTCTCAGTTAGGCAGGGATGTCAGTGCAGGGTAGAGCTCCTCCACAGAGCTTGTAGTTGTTGTTGTTACTCTGTGGTTTGCTTAACAGAGTTAAACCCTGCTCCCTATTATACTTCTGATAACCAAGGCCCTTTTTTCTTAAAGGATTTGCACAGCTCTAGCAGAGCAAATTATTGTGGAAGTGACTTTTCTTGCAATATATGAACTAGAAAGATTCAAGTACTGTCCCCCAGAAGGGCAACTGCCATCCCTAGTCCTTTGTTAGAATTAAAGCAGCTGTTTGATGTGGTCCCAGATGGAAGTAGGGTTTCTTTTCAGTCCAAGTCCAACCCCACTCTACCTACCTGGTAAGTGCTTTGTCCTAGATTCACAAATGCAGATGGAGGAGGGAACCACTGCTAGCATGTGATGCTGTGGGGGGACAGGAGAGTCACAGGCAAACAGAACAAGTTGACCTGGGTGTGAATTGACATTATCCAGTGGAGTGCTACCTCTCCCCTGGTGGAAGCCTACTGCACCATTTAACTATGCAAAATGAAACATAATGGTCTTACTATTGCCACTTCAGGATATCTGATGCCTAGAAGGGCTAGTAGTGCTACTGCTCTTCTTTCTCCAGACTTAGTGTGGGAATATCACCAATGGATAAAAATACTTAAGTAGTTTATTTTACACGGTTACACTTTATATATATAAAATAAAGCTTATAGGATTATTGCAGTGTACAATTCCATGGAGTGGTGACAAAAGGTCAGTGAAAGCAGCCAGCACTTCCCAGGCTACTGCCTCTGAAACACTCATTTGCATTTGTGACGATCATTTGCAAAAAATTCTTAATGGAAAATACCACTTTTGAAGGGCCATGTTTACAACAGAATATTTACAGTGTCTTTTCAAGCTTTGTATTTTCCAAGTAAATACCACGTGATCACTGGGAATGAAGGATTTCTTCCAGAGGAAAATACTCAAGTCAACTGGTCCCGTTTCCTTCTTTGTTACTTAGAAGCCTTGATTCAAGTCTCCTGGGAACATCCTGATTCCCAAAGACCACTCACCACACTGTAAGTTAGATACTTTCAGATTTTTGGATCCAGGTTTTCTGTATTTCAGGCAGGAAGGGGCACTGCCACATCACTTGCCATCACCCAGCAGGTCACAGTGTTCACAGCTTGGCCAGGCTCATTTCTCCCAGGGGTCAGATGCAAGGAAACAAATAGAGATCCATGTTGGTTATCTCAAATGGTAAAGAACACATCCAGTAGAACACTGCCCCATGATCTGACCAAGCTAGTGTCATCTGCTTTACAGTCTTTGATTCATATTTGTCAATACCTTGATTCCAATCCTTCACTTGGGAATTGTTCCAAGGCAGCAACAAGGACCAGGATGCAGTTGAGTAATGATGTTCACAACACCCCCAACCTTAGGAGGACAACAGCCCAATTCATAACATTGTGCACAGCAATGCAGAGGAACCAGCTGCAGTGCTAGGAACTGGTTCTGGGGGGATGCCTACAGACAGATGTGACTTGAGCTGTAGCTCCTGCTGCCTTGCTTGATGCCATCACAACCCCCTTGTCAGTTAAAACAATTTGCAGGAGAAAAAAAAAAAAAGGTAGTGTATTCTTCACTTCCATTTATCCTCTGAGCTTCTTAACTGTCCTATACCAGAAGAAAGAAAGACTAAATCAGTCTCATCAAAACATCATGTAAGAGCACATAAGGAATCAGAATAAAAGTGTAGCCTCTAACCACTGAGCAGCTTGGCCACAGCTGGGTCTTGGAAAGCACTATATTTAGCTTCCACAAAAGGAAAGAAGCATTTCTAGACCACAAGGAGACCAAAAAGGCACTACACAGAAAGGCCACATACTAGTTAAGTAGTGCATTTTTCTGTATGGCTTCAATCTTGGTCCACAGGCTTAATTTCTTGTATTATCTATCTTCAATAGGAGCTGCTCCAAGTACATGGTCCAAGCAAAGTTTACATTTTAAAGGACATACATACATCTGGAAGAAATGGTATAAGTCCCTTTTTCCCTCCAGTCCTCTTCAAAAAAACAAAAAACAAACAAAAAAAACCAACACCCAACCAACCAAAAAAACAATCAAAACCTCATACCACACAAACATGAAAAGAAACCATTTGTTCAGCTTTACAGGAAAAACTCATTTAAAGAAGTAAAAAAATCAGACCAGGTCTTTAGATGTGGCTGGTTTAGATTCTAGATAACCAGAGCCACTGAAAATGATGGGGTTGCCTGAATCACTGCAAAAAACCTATCTGCCAAACACAGGGTTAAGTTCTATTGGAAGTTCAGAGAAGCAGGGGAAATACAGGAGAGAAACCTCAAGGAGCAGCTCAGCCCCTTGCAATGGCTGACGCAACAAACAACCCTTAGAGGATGGGAGGGATATCAGAGACTGCAGCACAGGAAAACTCATGGCCTCCTTCTTTACTTCTTTTCTCTCCCTTTCAATGCAGTCCCAGCCACAAGACCCAGAGTGTCCTTGAACTCCACTGTCCCAAAGGGCTAAAAGTCCTTTCCTGGTGCAAGTATCCATGCCAGGGTTGAGCTGAGACCCAGGCAGACAGCTGCAGTTTTGCCAAACTATTATTTGATCCCAAAGGCCCACAAGACAACCCCCCAGGCTATGCTGGCTGCCACTCCTTGGCACATTTCCCTCCAAATCCCGAGCTGGTTTGGGGACAATTTAATCTCCCCAACAGCCTTGACTGGAAAAGGGCAAGAAACAAGGGAGAGCCCTGGGCTGACCAGTGATCAGACACATTCCGAGTCTTTCGATCTAAAGAGCACAATGCAAACACCATTTCTGAAGCAGACATTCCCTGCAGGCCATGGAGCAGAGTCATCTCTGCAATGTGTCAGTAACATGAAGCAACTGCAGCAAATGGGTCCTCATCAAGGAGCTTCACAGTATGGGAAAAAAGGAAACTGAATCCTCCTCTTAATGCATCCAAGTCAGTGTTCAATGTACCTCAGAATGTCTAGGTGCTACTATAAGAATTGCCTTAAAAACATAGAGGAGGAAGGAGACTACAGCTGCAGCTGGAAAGGGAAGAGAGGAGAACCCCTATTCCCAGTCTGAAAGAGGCCACAAAAGAGAAGCCCCTTTGCTGATAGATGGGGACTCATGAGATTCTGAATTCCCATTCACCCATCTCAACTACAGCTGTCTGCAGAGCTGGAAAACCCAAGCTGGAATTACCTGGTCTGCACCAACCACATCCACATCAACATCTTGACCTTCCTCTGAGACATCTTCTGTCTTTATCTCATCCTTGCTGGAGGAAAACAAAAAAAAATTTAAAACCAGCTAAGTCTTGAGAAACTTGTATCAGAGAGGTTGCACGTTGCCCAGGTGTGCTAAGGTAGAGTAGTTCACATATTAAGATCTCCTGCTGCGTATCCCTGGTAGCCCCAAGTTTCTGGCCCAGTATTTCCCAGGCAAGAAAGACGTTATGCTCTGAGGACTTTCCAAAAAAGCAGTTCAGAAACAACATCACTTAAACTGGGATGTATCTGTAATCACCTACATGTTTAATTTTTATTGTTTATTTGTATTCACCAGGTCCATTCAACAAGTGTCCTAAAATCTTGAAAAGCATGTGTTTTTCTGGGATTTGTGTTTCA